TTTGCCTTAAAGAGGCTGCCGTAGTCTCAGGAGCCTGCCTGACAGTGAGGGCACCGCTCAGTGGGTGAGGGGTGGGGCCACCTACACACTCTCCCCTCCCCAGCCCCACTCCTCAGGGTGCAGCTGGCTGATTTGAGGGACTGTATATCTGAGTTCTGTAATGTGTCATTTTTCTTCCCAGTATATGGGTATAAAGGTAGAAAATTCAAGTATTTAGCATAATACAAAATAAAAGCCCCTCCTTCTCACTCCTCTCACCAAAGGCACTTACTGTTAACTATTCCTGTGATTCTTTCTCAGATAAATATTTCACTCATTTTTCATATTTAAACAAAAAGATAATGTTACCTCCTAGGCACCCCACTTCCTCTCACCTCCGCCAGCTGTCCCGTGGGGCTCCCCACCCTTTGCGCCCCCCTTCTGACGACCGGGACCTTCACTGTCAGGGCGGCTCTGACTTGTTTCTCCTGAACTTGGTACAGACATTAGGTTGTTTCAGGTTTTTGCTGTTTCAAAGAGTTGCAATGAGCATCTTTCTTTTCTCCTGAATATTCTGGGGAACATTTCTGTGTCCCTGCAAAAGACAAGGACTAGCAGGGGACGTTTGGGTCCCAGCAGATGTGAATTCATTTATTTTTTAATAAAAAGTAAAACATGCTGAACATTAAAAATAATCAATTTGGTGTTTAAAGTGTAAAAAGTGAATCTCCTGTCTGTACAGGCCCCTGCACCCTACTTCAGGGGCCATCGTTTCTCTTTCTCTTTCCACACCTCCCCTGGAATTTCTTTACGTCAAGGCTCAAACTGCGGTCACCTGCTTAACCGTCACTTTTGATAAATGGTTCTCCAACGATTAGATGTGCAGCTCATGTGAGTGGGGAGGAAATGGGCACGCGCAATGCCTGCTGGGGTGTCCATCTCACAGTAAGGTGGACTTGTCCACTCCTGTGTCCGGCCTACGGAGCTACCCAGGTCTGATGTGGTGCCACTGAGTCTCAGGGACCTGCCTCCCAAATGAGGAGCAGGATGAGCCCTTCTGTACTTGCTTGAATTTCACAGACAGAGCACAAGAGCCGTGTGAGCCATGGGTCTGGTTAGAGAATCCTGGCCATCTAGTGGCCTGCTGAGGACATTGAGAAGGTGACCAAGCTTCATCAGTGGAACTGAGAGGGCCGAGGTTCCAGGGCCATGCCTGAGAGCTGTGGGAAGGGCCAGTGTACTCCAAGCAGGGATGCTTATGGTGGCGAGAAGACATTTCTGACATCTGACGTGGAGTGGAGCTTTGGAGGAACTATCCCAGGCACGTCAGTTTGAAGCTGTTGGGCTCAGGGCAGCAGCACCCAGCTATCTCTGCAGCCCTTCCCTGCCTGGGTGCACGAGGTGGCATTAGGGACAGAGCAGACAGCCACAGGGAGGTGGGGGGGGTCCAGAGTTTGTTCAGATACACATCACCTCCTTTAGGTTCTGGGGGTCACACAGCCCATAAAGGGGGTCCTCCTCCCTCCACTTACAAGTGAGGAAAGGGAGGCATGGCAAGGTGAGAAATCAGATGGCCTGACCTGCTCACTGGAACCACCTGGAGACGGCCAGCGATGACGAAACTGTAGGTAGCGTGTCTGTGTAGGAAGGCAGAGAACATGCCTCCAATGCCAAGTGGTTCCCAGAGAAAGTGTTCTACAGGAAGTTTTTGCTCCTGAAAGGGATACGTGTCTTTTTCTTTCTTTCTTTCTTTCTTTTTTTTTTTTTGAGACAGAGTCTTATTATGTTACCCTTGGTAGAGTGCTGAGTGCCTAGAGTGCCAAGTGCTGGTAAAGTTCTGTGGGGTCACAGCTTACAGCAACATCAAACTCTTGGGTTTAAGTGATTCTCTTGCCTCAGCCTCCCAAGTAGGTGAGACTACAGCACCTGCCACAATGCTCAGCTATATTTTGTTGTCATTGGTGCTTAGCAGGCCTGGGCTGGGTTTGGATTCTCCAGCCCTAGAGCACGTGGCTGGCACCCTGATCACTGAGCTACGGGCGCAGAGCCAAATACGTTTCTATCACCTGGAAGACTGTCACTATCTTCCTGATGAATTGTGCACACTGAGCTTGGGCACCTTCTGTTTCTGGTCTGGTTCTCCAGGAACACTCACACTCAAGGCTCCCCCATAACAGCGTTGGAAGGAGGTCCTTATATCTGATCGGGGATACAGTGAAGGGGTGGCAAACAAGGGTCTGCAGTGTGGCAAGAGCCTGCTGCAGCTGGATGGGAGATGGAGGT